GTAGTATGTGTTTTTTGATGGCTTCATCTGAAACAATGTTTCATTTAAATTAATAGCATTTGCTTGACTTGTTATTAAAAAGGTTTGTACAGATTAGTGAGTAATTTTGTCTTTATCATTTTGTGAAAGTGGCACATTTGGATGTGAACAGTGTGGTGGGAGCTGCAGAGCAGAGGGGCCAGGAATGTGTCCACTCTAATCCCAGTGAGGGACAGAAGATGTTTTAGCAGATCTCCTCTGGTCCACATGAGTGGCCCTGGTGTCCGATGTTCCCACAAACCCCGGAACTGGATAAAGAGAGGCTGACGGCTGTTTGGTTAGCACCAGACTTTCACACTGACGAGAGGAACTCAACTAAATAATCAACAACAATGCCAGCAGAGACGGCTACAGCCCTTCCTCTCCTGATGGTATGCTAAGACATCACAAATTATCAAGAGCAAAATGTCAAACCATGCGGAAGAGGGCTACACGTTAAAGCTGCATGGCACCAAATGGAGAACTACTCTAGGTAAAGAGTAAAGATTTAACTACCTTACATGTGAAGTAAAAGACGATTATTTAGGCACCCAAAACTCAGTCAGAAACTAAACAATATGTATGTTTTTCTCCACCCGATCTTGAAATATGAGCTGTTTAAACATACCAAACTAATGCACCTAGACAGTGCATTCATTCAGCAAACACAACTTTTAAAAACTTCCACAATTTGCATAGTTTTGATCTTTTAGGAGTGTGTATAGAAGTAAAACTTTTACATATACAGTATATTTATGTAAATAATATTACTATTCATTTATTAGTATAAATTATAACCTTATGTTCATATAAATTAAACTATTATGGTGTACAACATTTTCTAAAGACATTTTGGGACATGTAATCAATGTTCACGGTAGCCAGTATTATGCACCAGTCTCCGTATGTCTCACGTTTTGGATTGCTATGCTTTTAAAAGTCTCTGATCAAAGATTGGGCCTTGTCAATGCTAAAATAAAGCAGTGAGAATATTTGAATTTGCCTCTTTGAATAGGAACGTGGGAGTCGTGATTCCTGACTCGAGGATCTGATGGGAATCGTGCTGTGAAAAGTCCGGAGCAGCACAGCGTGTACTAAGCCAGGCGGACAGCTGACTCAGCACCTCCCCTGTTATCTGTGTGCTCGCTCGACAATGTCTTTATCCCCGGCGACAGAATACAGCCTCAGGGCCCGAGCACCACTCATAACCTTCTGAAAATCCTCCTCCCAGCCCGGGCCCTGGAATTCTTAGAGACACCCCTGATTCTGATCCTGATCCACCCTCTCTTTCCCCTCCAGAAAACACAAGCAGAATCGTGAGAAAGGAGGTTGGGGTGTCAAACTACCTTACCGTTGGGTTGTTTTATTTATGTACTATATCCTATAGGTGTCAATTAAACAGGTAAAGTTAGCAATCATGACCTAATAGGCTGATTGTGTTTAATTTCTTATAGCCAATAATATTACAGAAACATGTTCACTCCTACTGAAGTCACTGACACCATATTAACCCTTGTGTTTCGTTTACATTGATTTGACTTCATTGTTGGTTGGGACCCCACAGACCACATTGCTAATTGTTGAAGAATCATAATTTAATAATTATTATTCCTTTAAATATATTCTGACCTTATTATTTTACATTTAATAACAGTGGCAAAATACAGAAATGACCATAAATCAAATAAGCAAATACTTCATGTTACATACAATATATGGGCTATGCAGTAACAAATGATTTTCACATTGTTCATTCACAGACAAAGAAATGTACAGTATGTTATCCTGCATAGTGACGTTAGACGTAACTCCCTGTTAGAACAAACTGTAATAGACTTGGGACATGTCAGTATATTTAAATCTATGTATATATTATTCTCAGAAGTAAGCTATAACAACTGATTATTTCACATTAAGGATGCTTTGCTACTAAACTCCTGCATCAATTGGATTACACAACAATTATCAGAGATTCAGAGATCAAAGATTATTATCTTTATGCTACCATTTCCATATATCAAAGCACCTTATTTCATACCAGTGATTGTCTGAGCGAGGATACACACTGTGTTACGGGCCTGTTGCTGAGCCGAGGAGTTGCTTATAACAAAACAAGCAATGTCTGATGAGAGCTACAGCTGTACTATATGTAAGTGACACAGAGGTGCTTAGTCACTGTGGCTGCTCTGATTTAGCTCAACACTTGCACAGACTCGTCTAAAGGTAATCGCTGCACAGGCTGCTCTGCTCTGCTTTAGGCCCATGAATGCTGCAAACCTGCATTCCCACACCTACCTGAGGCACAAACTGTTTGCTTCTGTACTCTGAGACAGAGGGGGAGAGATAGAGGGATCTGCTGCAAGATGAAGAGAGAGAAAGAGAGGAAGACAGAGAAGGAAAATGGCTGTATTGGAGAAAGAAAGAGATGCATACCAGAGAGGCAGACAACACAATCCTACACTTCACACACATTCTCGGAAAGGCTTTATGATCTCCAGAGGGGAAAAACAGATACAGATGATCTGTAGGTTCTTTGCTGGGGGGAGAAGCACATGCCACTGCCTGCACCTGTACACGGACTGACTCCACATATCAGAGTGTATAATGGGATACAACTGTGGAAGGCTGTAGCTCCTTGAATACTCTGCAATATGATCTGTAATATGCAATAATACAGCAATCTCAAGGTTTTGCTCCTGAATGGGATATCATAACTTTAAAGGAAGTGGCACTTGAAGATACACACAGCATGGGTAGAAAAATCGCTTATTTGTGCAACTGAAACAGGAGCTATTTCCTTCTCCCTCTGCATGGGCCCCAAGAGGAGGAAAGGGGAGAGCGAGTGGTCAACAGAGGTCTTTCTAGGAGCAGCTGAATACCAGAGGAGCTGACAGGTATGTACATATTGGAATGTGCTTCTCAGCCACACCTGTGGGGAACACACCCGCCAAGCCTGGCCTCTCTCATCCCACTGGCTGATCTCTGCGTGATTGACAACTGGAAGAACTATTTGGCTCCAGTCCACAAGAGCCAGGGGGCAGGTATGGCGAGTTCTGAGTACGAACCAATGGCAGCCAGAGAAATCCCTCCGAGCCAGGCGGGGCTACAGTGAAATAAAACTCATCAATGGGGTGTGTCTCAAAAGTTTGTCAGCAGTCAAACAGCGAAGGGCAACTGCTGCAGGAACACACTTTGACTGGTTAAAGCTTAACTAGTTCCTTGCTGCAGGAGAATCAGAGCGGCTTTCAGCTGGCAGAGATGGTAGAAAATCCATGACAGGTTTACCTCTGCTGTGGCTGAATGATGGAAGTGAACCAACAGATCTCCTGCTCCAACCTCGTGGAACTCCTCTTTCAGGGCCAGGACTTCGAGGAAAGGGATGGCTGTTTCAGGCAGTCCATGGTTGGGGACTTTTTGAACATCTCAGGACTTTTAACAATAAGTCCTTCATCACAGTGTGATATTGATTTAACAGCTGTGGTGTTACTGTGGTCGCTCACATCTCCTTATCACTTTTCCAGCCCAGCTATATTTTCTGTATCCGTTGGACGGAGAACTGATAAGGGCATGTGCATGACATTACCTACAGATACTGGAGACATCAGAGTCAGAGAGCCTTTAGGGTAATTAAGTCATTAAATTCATAATTAGTCATCATGTGGAAGGCTGTTATTGGTTTTTGTGATTTAGTTGCTTACAAATTATTTTTGAAGGGTGACTAGAACTGTAATTTATTGCTTTTTAAAGATGTTAAGAAATAATTTTATGTCATACGTTTTTAAATGTGAACTTTGTAAGTGGCTAATATAAACTTAACTAACGTAACTAACACTAACTTTAAGGTTGCATTGTAATATAACTTGTCTTTAATTAAACAGTCTAACATTCTTTCTTCTTTTATAGATGATTTAGTGATGGATACTTTGAGTCGTACTTTACAGCCAGAGACTGGAAAGTGGAAAGGTTTATCTTTGCACTTCTGTTGGGCAAAATGTGAGACAGTGGATTTACTTCAGGCAGCTCTGATTTTACGTCATATGTCCCAGAAATATGACATTCAGGCAACATGATGTGTTTCTCTAAAAAGGGCAGTGCATAGGCATGACCAGTGTTTGACACAATATGGTTTGGGACACCAGATCTGTAAAAATGTCAATAGAGTTATTGCGCAGAAACACATTTAATACGTCAGGATGAACAACACGTAGGCGTTCTAAAAATTGGTTCCCCTGACAGTAAATGTATAAACTAGCAGGGTAAACGTGAACTCGGACACCCTGACATGATACAGCATGACTGACATAATCCATTAAAACTGTACACTGAGGATGATGCAACTGGTGAACTGGAATACAAAAATTAGGTGAGTAATTCAAACATGATGCATGCCAATGCACTGACACGATTCTCACACCCAGACACATGCAGCCTTGACATTTACACTTTAATTACACCTAAATGAGTGGATAGTGTCAAACTGAAGAATATAGCTCATACTTAACATTCTGTACAAGAATACAACGTGTTGATACAAAAAGATGGATCAACATCAGACTGAAAGACAAATTCATAGGAAGTGATACTAAAGTCCCAGTA